TTTTTGCCACCACGCATAGAGCCATCTCGTCAAACTTCATATACTATCGCACGTTCCCTTTCCAAAATGACAGGTTTAGTGTCAGCCTCAGTCTTTGAATGGGAGAGTTGGCCCTGCCTCCCCAAGCAGATTTTGGGACCCATCGAGACCGGAAAGCGAAAGGGGATCTTCCCTTTATGGCATTGCGGTTCAAATTCCAAGAAGGGATTGTCAGAAGTTCCCATCCATATCAGGTTGTCCTCAACAATAGGGTGCTTCATATTTCCATAATCACGCCTCATTGTATCATCCCAACAATTGGCGGGCGCATGATTAGTTCCCTTACTCTCCTGGAGCTCCTTGTTAATCCAAACCAAGCTAGGAGGGTTGGGATAGAGTCGAGCTTCTTCGGCATCATCATAAATTCTCCGACCAAGCTTCTTGGTCGACATGTGCGGACCAAACCTCTCTTTCCCCGAGGGATGATCAAAAGTACAATCCTGGCGGGAATGACCTACTCTTCCACACTGAAAGCAGAAGCTTGGTAGGTGTTCATATTTCAATCTAATCTAGAAACAGCCGGTCTCAACATTGACAGCTATAATTTGAGATCGAAGTGGCTTGGAAAAATCAAAAAGCACCTTAACTTTGATGAACCTACCTGTCGCGTCAGTACACGAGAATACACCCGCTTCTAGCACTCTTCCGAGAGTAGCATTCGCCACTTTCCGTCCAAACTGGTGGGTGCAACAATCTTCTTTTACATCCCGCAGTTGGACTCGGAATGGAGCTATCGTAAGCTCGTCATACGTTCGTTTGTTGATGGATGAGGTCCACGCCCGCAAGTGTAGGAGCTTATCCCTGATCACCCATGGTGTTCGACTGAGCACGCACCGTTTAGCATCCTCATTCGGGGGGACATACTCGAAAACACCATGTGCAATCAACCTAACCTTGATGCGGCTCTTTCCCTGCCAAGGATTGTTCACCGAATAGCGCAACTCCGTTGGTGAAACTCAGTTATCAGTGAAGAGTCGGCCCAGGAGAGTTCGGGACCGGCGCACCTTGTCGGACTGGATTTCCTCCAAAATGAATTCCACGACCTGGTCTTTGGTAATGTGAGACATCGTGATTGTCTGTAAAGGTTGCGGTAGCCAAGGATCACCCTTAGCAATACAACAATATATTAGCCCCAGCCAAGGAAAGCAAGAAAAAGTAAAGGAGATTCTTCTAAGCAGGCCATCATCCAACCATTCTTTTATATATGAAAGCTGGGTACGCTTTATTGGCCCAAAATTTTCGGTACTGTTTCAATATTTGTCGTTTAGTACAAAAACCATCTTCAGCTAGCTCTGGAAAAACGTTCGCAGCAGCCCATACTTCCCTATCCCATCCCTTTACCCTCAGTCCCACTCTCAAATTCAGTAATCTCACAGGTCCGGTTCACTTCTCATCTCACACGCCAACACCCATGCATATGTACAGTACTCATCTTACTCCTATGGATTAAGAGAGACTTCTATTCTCTGGTTTGACCATTTCAATTTCAGCTACAACTCCGATGTTGATCTATTCTCGATTCCCACACCCGTTTTTCTAGCAACCCTCTATTCCTCCCATTGTCTGACCACCGTGAATCTTGGCAATCGAAATAGTTCTGGATGTCTTCAGGAAAGCTTCATCGTGGACCTCAGTGATATGATGTAGAGACCTATCTATGCGGCGTCCAAGGGCAGTTGTCGGCGGATGAATCCATCGCCGTTGGAGTCAACCTGCACCACCATCTCCTCTACCTCCGTCTCAGTCACGAAGATGCTGAGGTCGTCTCAATCTCGAGACAACGTTGATGGCGGCATGGATCATCACCGGCAGCGTCGTTGTTTCGGTGAGGATGACATCATGTCGTCGGATGTGGAGTACGACTTCGAGGATGAAGATGGGGAGCTGACGACGATGAAGAGTGTATAGATCTTGAGTGGGATTAGAAGAAGGGCAAACACGCTGGGAAGAGTATATGGGAATCCACTCCCAAGTCCCATGTAAGCGGACTAACAACCCTAAATTCAGAAGTCGTAGCCGACGCCCATGGACGCCACTCCAGCTTGCCGACTAATTTAAGTGACGGTTCTTTGCTGGATTGACGGTCACCCTGCCACATGGTACGATTCTCCTCTTTAACTCCCATATTTTTTCCTCCGCTACGCTCCTAATGTCGGCTTGCTGCCCTCCCCTTCAGTTTTTTGGGTTGTGCATCTTTCAAGTTTTCTTGCGTAGATTTGTATGCTAATGACCTCTATGTTTGTTTGCTTGCTATTTTCCATTTGAAAGATTTAAGTCCACCAAGCAAGACTCTAACAAGTGCTAATCTTTTAAGATTTCTGTATGTGAAAGTAAATTATGGTGTAGAGGTGTTTCAATCATTCAAGTTGTAATATCTTACTCTTGGTATTTTGTTTGTTTCCAACTTAGTCTCATGGCCTCAACTACATCTGCCCACCAGGAAAATGATGTTGGTGGCTTGCAAGTCAGCTTTTTAACTGTCTTTGTAGATGAAATCGCTTTCATTTCCATATCATCCCACTTTGTTCATTATCCTTCTTCTCCTTTTGACTTACTGTAAACGTTAAGTTACTTGCTTGATTGATTTTTCTCTCACTGGTTACAGTTCTGCCAAGATGGTAACCTTTATCAGCTGCCCACAATTGTATCATAAGAAGTTGTAGAGTTGCAGCTTTGATGTTGGGGAGATTTACAGACTGTAGTCACAAACAACAACCCATCAGCAACCTTTTTGAAGAGAGTGACTTTTAATGGATTCCACCCTATCCTCTGTTGTTCACGGATCCCTCATGTACACCTGCCACGGCCTACCTTCGCTATCGCAAGCTACCATCCGCTCTCAACGGACACTCCATCGGCCCTGGCTCTGCGGTAAACTGCAGACTGACAATCCTTTCACCACTTCTCTTCACTGTCACTAAATATGAACTTTCTGAATTCATACTCTCTGATCTAGGTTCTGTTTACTTATGCGTTTTGAGGTTTATGAAAATTTGGACACATGGAGTAGCTTGCCGAAAGGTTCAGGCTTTGATTGACAAAGGTTTGGATTACTCAAACTAGGCATCTGGGTTGACATATCCTTCCTTCAAATTGAAGGAACTCAGAATATAGTAAAAAATGGGACAAAGATCATATCACTTTTTTGTCTGCTTATGATTCTTGAGCTTTATGACATTGAAGAGGTAGCTGAAAGATTCTGGAGTGATTTAAGAATTGTTGAAATTAGACAAACTATGCGTATGGGTTGAAGTTTGGTTCAAGGTTGCTAGGTAGTTTGATATGTATCTTTGCGGCTTTTCTTTGCAATTGATGATGGCAGGTTGAGGTAATAGCAACAAGTATACCAAACTTTTAATTTGATGAACAATTATTAGTTTTTTTTTAATATCAAAGTTACAATAAAACGGTTCAAAGGTTGAAGTGAGAGAAGCTTGATCTGCTCAGACCATCCACCAGTTCATTTGATTTATCCATAGAGTATTCATGCTCAACCACCAACACTTTTTCTGCTTCTTCGTCTTTGACTGTAGAGATTTTGATTCTCATATTCACAGGTTTGTTACTTTTGACAATCATCATAGTTGTTTGGCTCGCCTCGATGTGATTCTTATGCCCAAAATGGGTTTAAGAGTTTTTGTAGGGAAGTTGAACATCATTTAAGCAGTACTTAGTGGCCTACGACAAGTTTTGATCCCTTTGGATCAAAAGCTTCCACCTTTCTCGAGTTTCAAACAGAGAAGTAGGAAATGGTAAGTAGCAGCATGCCTTTGGATCAAAAGCTTCCGCCTGTCTCGACTTCCAAACCGAGAGGCAGGGAAATGGTAAGCAACAGGATTCCCGCGACCCTAAGAGAAGTTTCATACAGTTCTAATTTGAGGTTTTCGCTTGATTTCTGTTCGGAGAATTGCCTGCAAAATCTTAATGTTAGGTATTGAAGGCCAAGCTCGAGTTTTGAGTTTCCCTTGCTTAAAGGCACATGTTTAAATTCTTATGTTGTCAGTTCTGGATTTAATGTTGCCTAATGTATGGCTATTCCTGGCTGTTGCAGTTTGAATAGGTTTCTAGGTAGGTTTAAAATCAGAACTGAGCTTAATAAGGACAAATTCAGGTGGAATCGCCTGCTTCCCAGCCACCACAGCTAGGGGTGGGCAACGGGAAACGGGTATTTGGGTATACCCGTACCCGTCCCGTTTTTTAAGGGTTATGGGTACCCATATTACCCGTAATATTATAAACGGATGGGACTTGGGATTGTACATTCCTAATATGGGTACCCGCGGGTTACCCGCAAATACCCGTTTGGGTAATGTGGGTACCCGTTATACCCATTCAATACAATTGCTGATATGCATTATTAATTATTTCACCAAAAACTACGTGCTACTAATTGGAGCTACCTAATTGTATTTGTTGGTATGCATTATTAATTATTTCACCAAAAACTGCTGCTAAATGGTAATTAAAAAAAACAAACGTATCAGATGATATTGTAAGGTACACCTTAAAACCTTTGATTCTTACTCTGGAACAAATTAAATGATCTTAGTTACTTATTACAAGGTACGTAGAATTGTGACATCATCAAACACAGTTACAATAACCCAGAGCAGATATTAATTAATCTAAAAAAACATGCTAACTGATCAGTGCAAAGTAATTAATCTGTAATGGTTTTGAACAACACCATAAAACATGTTTATCAATTAGTACTGTAAGACGTAGAAACTTTACTAATTGTTTATCAATTCGGGATGCGTTAATTGTCACTCAATTCTCTATGCGTTGTGATTGTTCATGAATGTGTAATTTGCAAACCAAGTATTTTTGATTGTGATGGATTTTGTGTCTTGTGATTGTTAAGCAAGTAAAAGTTAAGTTTAAACTTTTGTTAAAATTTTAGTGGTTTAAACTTTGGGTATTTATGGGTAGTATGGGTACCCGTGATCCGTCCCGTACGGTTAATGGATACCCGTTTCCCATATGGGTTTGGGATATGGGAAGGACTTTGGCCTCCAAACGGGACTGGGTACCCGTTTCAAACGGGACGGGTATCCCGTCCCGTCCCGTTGCCCAACCCTAACCACAGCTCCTGCAGCCAGCCCTCTCAAAGCCCCAGCGACAGCAGCAGACCTCACCCCTCTCGCCGCCCTACAAACGGCGCCGGTCCCGAGCCCGGCCGCAACGCTGGTCCAAACGTCATCCCGATCCGTAGCCGCAACAATCCCACTCTCTGCCATCGCGTAGATCAACCCGACGATCCCAATTCGGTTCCCCCAGACCCGGCCCACGTGGCCGGAGCTATTGAGGACGCGACCTCCCTCCCGGCGCACCAGGTCCACCTTTTTCAGGCGAGGGGCGCCGACAGCTTCAAGTACAACCAATCTCCCCTCAATCCTTCTGTAATTTCTTCTTCCTCTTCTACCGCCGATTGCACTAAGAGGCACCTCTCCAACCTCGACAAGCTTCTCCAAAAACATGAGCCACCGACTCCTAGATACAACCGCCTCGATTCAATTCCCAAAGTTCCGAGACCCGACGGCGGCGCTTCGGCAGCGGGTTGGGCGAATCGGGGGAGGAACTTGCTGGAGGGGCTGAATCTGGCCCGAATTGAAGGCGGCGGAGGAGATGTCCCCCAGGCACTTGAACCGGCTGCAGCGGCTACTCTCGAAGACGCCCGAATACTCCCCCCGAAACAGCCTGGCTTCCCGGTGGAGGGAGTACCACGGCGGCGACGACTGGAAGGGGATGCTCGGTTAATCGGCTAACCGCCTGCCCACAACCAGTTACCGCCAACCGACCGTGACTGTTTTTCCCCGGTTTTCGGTTAGCCGCTAACCGGCGGTTAACGGTTAGACCGGCTGGTTAGCCGCTAACTGGAAACCGAAATGACAGCCCTAACGACCACCAATTAGTCGTCACCTAAACTAGCTGCCATATGATCATGTTGTTATAAATTAAGTTCCCGCGGCGTAACCGTGGGTATTGATTCTAGTATTAGTAGAATGAGGTCAACACTATAAAATTCCCACATACCAGAGTAGGATCGGTGCTTGGTGGGGGGGGGGGCACTTCGTCGCACAACCGAGAGCTCCTTGATATTTTTCGATGGTATAATAGAATCTCAGGTAGGGAAACATAATAAATAGAAGGCAGAGCCCAGAAATCCCATTGGCAGAACCTGACCCACTTGTAAAGGGATTCTTTGTTTTTTATTTAAAAAAGCTTTTTTTTATTTATCTTTCCGTTGAGGGATACGGAGAGAGAGAAAACCCCCAAAATCATTACGAAGATCTGGTGATCGGGGGAACACGACAACTTGTTTTTCGGCTCTCTCGTGCAACAGAATTCGCTCCGAACACGGAAACTTCTGGTAAGAGGGCATCGGTCGGACCAGGGGTTCTTTCTCCGGTAGCCTCACCTTCATAGGCCGATGAATAAAACTCGCTCCACATCGGAATCTAAGTTTTGGCCTAGTAGGCAGGTTGAAACAACTCGCTCCACATCGGAATCTGAGTTGACGTCTAGGATGTGAGCCACAAATGCCCGCATCCCCCACGCAAGTATCAATCACTATGGATTGAGGTATTAGGCACGCAATTTCCTCCAACTCCGCGACGAAGGCAAATGAAACACCCAGGCTTTCATTTTAGATAGCCTTCTACGGTTAACTGGAGGAGCGTCAGATGCGATACCAGAATTCCAAGCAGGCCCGGCCCAGACCCTGTGCTGGTCAGACCCACAGCACAGGGCCGCAAGTTTTAGGGGGCCCATAATCCATAAGTCCGGAGGCCCACTTGAACTAGTGAAGCCCACATGACCACACAAAACCCCCTTGTTACAAGACAAGACAGGAGGCCCGCTTGGGCTAGGGAAGCCCACATGGCCACACAAAAACCCATTAAAGACGCAGGGAGGGAGGGGGAGGAGAATCGAACCACCGACCTCATCTTAATTAAAAAAAGATTCAGCCACTAAGCTACAATTGGTTTATTGAATTTAAATATCAGTTAACTTATTTATTCTTCTCTTTTCCCAAAATTTCTCTTCCCAAAACATCCAACGCATAAATATGAATTGTTCATACTCAATTCTGATTAAGTCATCATCCCTACTATCCTGTCTCCTACTCAACTTGTTTTCAGTTCTAATCTTTTTTATTGATTGAAAATTTGGAATTATTAATCTTTGCTTATAATTTTTAATTATGTCAACCCAAAAATTTCAAAAAGATAGTTTCTAAGTGTAGATAATATTTGATAATATATAATATTATTAATTTGTAATAATTTTTTGAAGTTATGTAATTTTTATTTTTATTTAATATTTTTAATTTTATTTTGAACACATTTGCGAGAAAAAATTTTGGGGCCACATTTAAATTTTCGAACAGGGCCTCCGAATATAATGGGACGGCCCTGATTCCAAGGCGATCTTGTTTTCCTTTTATGGATCCCATGATCCCAAGCCAGATCAAAGAAGGTTATTAAAGCTGAATTTAAGAAAACAGTCAAATGTAAGCTAAAAAATTGGAAGGTGAGGACCATGTCACAAGGAGAGAAGGATGTTTTGATTAAAATCATGGCCCAAGCATAAGTCATATCCTATAATGATATTTTAGATTCGGGTTAATTGCATGGTTGGTCACTGAGATTATAAAAAACGTTCAAGTTAGGTCACTCGAAATATTTAAATTCATTGGTGGTACTTCAGTTTACTGAAACCGTTCATGTTTGGTCACTCTCCGTCCAACTCCGTTAACATTTGCTGATGTGGCAGTCAACTCTAAAAGTTGACCGTTAACTTAGTGACGTGGCAACTAAAAAATTATTAAGAATAAAAAAATAAACTTTTATATTTACCACCTCATTATTACATTCATTAAACATAAAAAAAATAAACTTCCAGCCATCGGCACTCCTACCTGAAATCCCCACGACGATGAAGAACGCGCTCCCCATGAAGGAGAATACATGGAAGAACCGCCGTATGACTCCCGACTCCGCCCCCACCTCCTTCCTCGCCGCAGCGGAACAATTAACTCCGCCGCCGCCGATAACTCTAACCGAGAAATTGACAATTCCATTCTAACCCCTCGCCGGTCCCGCAACCTGTTGGAAATGTGTATGAATAGCTTTGAAAGCTATAGAGTCTCAAGTGGAAAAACTACCACATTGGTAGTTTTACTTGGTGAAGTGATTATAAAGATAGGAGCCTCTCTCCTAAGGGCATGCCCCTTGGGGTGACCCACTTTTGTGGGAGAGGGAGGACCTAACGGACCACCACATCCGACCGGTCGGTCGGTCGGTTGGATGGATCACTTGAGACTATATACATATTTTTTGGAGAAATTCCGAACGAAATTAATTATTTAATTATTAATCGGTTATTCTGAGGAATATTCTAAGGGATAATCGATTGAAAAGGAATATTCTAAGGATAATCCCAGCAGGATTTATCCTAACCGACGGTTTTAATTAAGGAAGTAATTATCTTCCTTAATTAATCCGACTTATTCCCCAAGCTAGAGGGTATATTCCTAGGGGTTCGGCTCCTATAAATAGCCGCCTCCCCAGCCCCTCTAAACACATCACAACGAGCATAAACACAAAGAGAGAGTGTTCATAGAGCTCAGGTTTTCGCACAAAACCGCGAGTATTGAGAGGAGCTGTTTTATCCTGGAGACGACCGGTTGATAGTCTGCCGTGCGCATCGAGGGCAGTGCCGCGAACGTCTTAAAGAGAGCGACCTAGTCCGCGACTCAGCTCCAGATTCGGTAACCTCGTTCTTCTTGTTGTTCCGTTCCTAACAATTTTAAGACGTTCGGCTGCTGCTATGTCGACTGAACAGAACAACATGGCCGGATCTGGTGCTGTCGATATCAATCGACCGTTTCGCTTCGTTGGAGTCAACTTCCGTCGCTGGAGACAAAAGATGGAGTTCTACCTGACGACCAAGAAGTTGGCACACTACCTCACCAGCATGCCCGTCGAGCTGCCGGAAGAAGCGACCGATGAGGAGAGGGCTGCTTCTGCTAAGGAAAGGGAGCATGACTTCCTATGAAAGGGTTACATCCTCAACGGCCTGGCAGACGACCTCTACGACTACTATGCGGACAGCAAAAGCACCGCAATGATGGTCTGGGATGCGCTCCAAAAGAAGTACGACACAGAGGAGGCTGGAGCTAAGAAGTATGCTGTCAGCCGCTACCTGCGCTACCAGATGGTAGATGACAAGTCTGTCGAAGTTCAGTCCCACGAACTTCAGAAAATAGCTCATGAGATCGTCTCTGAAGGTATGCCTCTAGACGATCAATTTCAAGTTGCTTGCATTATTGATAAGCTGCTCCCTTCGTGGAAAGATTTTAAGAATATGCTTAGACATAAAACCAAAGAATTTTCACTGGAAAGTTTGATTACTCGCCTAAGGATTGAGGAAGAGTCCCGCAAGCAGGATATGAAAGAAGAGGTGATGGTCATCACTGCTAAACGACCCACCCCTAGAGCTCTTAAACCTAACCAGAAAGGGTTTAAGGGTAAGAACCAGCAGGTCCGCCCCCACCAGAATGGTGCCTCTCGAGGTAACCAAAGGGTCATGGCCCAAACCTCTAAGAATGACCCACCGTTTATCTGCTTTAATTGCGGAAAACCGGGTCATATGGCAAAAAAGTGCAGGAACAAGCATAACCCCGCCGCTGCGGCCAGGGTTAACTTGACAGAAGAGGATTTGGTAGCCATGATCAAAGAGATGATCGCTGAAGTTAACCTCACCGGTGACTCAGAAGGATGGTGGCTGGATACAGGTGCATCGAAGCATGTATGCAACAATCGTGCTATGTTTAAAACATACGAAGAAGCACCTGCTGACAAGAAAGTGCTATTGGGGACTACTCACACCACTATGGTTGCTGGTTCTGGAGAAGTGGAGCTGAACTTCACCTCTGGGAAGAAGATGGTGCTCAAGGATGTGTTGCACACTCCAGAGATAAGGAAGAATCTTGTTTCGGGATATCTTCTTAATAAGGCTGGGTTTAATCAATCTATTGGGGCAGACTTGTATACCCTTACTAAGAATGAGAGTTTTGTGAGAAAGGGATATGCATGTAATGGGATGTTCAAGTTGAATGTCGAAATTAATAAGATGAATTCTTCAGTTTACATGGTGTGTGATTTGAATGTTTGGCATGCTCGTCTTTGTCATGTGAACACACGAATTGTGAAGAATTTAAGCAAGCTAGGACATATCCCTAAACTCTCAATGAATGAATTTGATAAATGTGATTTCTGTAGCCAAGCTAAAATAACGAAAACGCCCCATAAATCTGTGAGTAGAGAATCAGAACCCTTAGATCTGATTCATTCTGATATTTGTGAACTAGATGGGACGTTAACTAGGTCTGGCAAGAGATACTTTATCACTTTCATAGATGATTGCTCTGATTATTGCTTTGTTTATTTGATGAAAAACAAAAGTGAAGCCC